TACCGCCAACGCATCTCCTCGATGGAAGGAACCTTAGAGAAGCTAGGGGCCACGCTGCCTACCTTGACACTTAAAAAAATTTTTTTTAGGCTTTGGAATCAGAGTGAAAACACTTTTCTGAGAGCCAGGGACTGTAGGCATTGGACCAAGAACCCATGAGGCAGAATGTGAAATCTGGAATGTCCTTGAAGGATATCCCCACTCTGGATGAGAACCGCCATGTTGTGCCCAGCCTGGCAGAACGTGTGCTGAAATCTCAGCTGCTGGCAGCACAGGGAGTCCCGGGCCTTGTGCCCGTGCTTCAGTGGCCTCCCAGAGTTCCATACCGACCAGCACAGAGGACAGGCGTACTCGGGAGATGCTGCTGGTTAGGTTCCAGATCGTCACAATGAAGTGAATATTGGAACAGAGAGGCAAAGGAATCTTTTGGTGTTGCAGTGCACATAAAGTTCCATTTACACTGCAGTCTGCTAGGTGTGCAACAGGACTATGTCTAAAGAAGAATGCACACACCTTAATTAAAAAATCTGTCCTCAGGACACCTGGGTGGCTCATTTGGTTGAGCGTCTGCCTTCAGCTCAGGTCATGGTCTCAGGGTCCTGGGATCGAGTCTCACATTGGGCTCTCGGCTCAGGGGGGAGCCTGCTTCTCCCCCTCCCTCTGCCTGCTTGTGCTCTCTCTGTCAAGTGAATGAAATCTTTTTTTTTAAAATTAGTATTTACCTATTTATTTTTTTTATATCTTTTCAGCGTAACAATATTCATTGTTTTTTGCACCACACCCAATGCTCCATGCAATCCATGCCCTCTCTAATACCCACCACCTGGCTCCCCCAACCTCCCCCCCCCCCTTCAAAACCCTCAGGTTGTTTTTCAGAGTCCATAGTCTCTCATGGTTCACGTCCCCCTTCCAATTTCCCTCAACTCCCTTCTCCTCTCCATCTCCCCATGTCCTCCATGCTATTTGTTATGCTCCACAAATAAGTGAAACCATATGATAATTGACTCTCTCTGCTTGACTTATTTCACTCAGCATAATCTCTTCCAGTCCCGTCCATGTTGCTACAAAAGTTGGGTATTCATCCTTTTTGATGGAGGCATAATATTCCATAGTGTATATGGACCACATCTTCCTTATCCTTTCATCCATTGAAGGGCATCTTGATTCTTTCCACAGTTTGGCAACCATGGCCATTGCTGCTATGAACACTGGGGTACAGATGGACCTTCTTTTCACTCCATCTGTATCTTTGGGGTAAATACCCAGTAGTGCAATGGCAGGGTCATAGGGAAGCTCTATTTTTAATTTCTTGGGGAATCTCCACCCTGTTCTCCAAAGTAGCTGCACCAACTTGCATGAAATCTTTAAAACAAAAAAAAATCTGTCATTGCTAAGGAAGGGCTAACCATCACCTGAGCTTTTTGCAAACTGTGATCTCTTCACTGGCGGGAGTTCTTGCCTTGATGTCGCTGGCTACTGACTGACCAGGGTGTGTTGGTTGCTGACGGCTGGGGAGGCTGCAGCCATTTCTTAAAATAAGAGCAATGAAGCTTGTTGCATCGATGGACTCTTGCTTTCATGAATCATTTCTCCATAGGATGCGACGCTGTCGGGCAGCATCTTACCCGCGGTAGAACTTTCAGAATCATCGTTGGTCCTCACCCTGCCTGCTGCTGCTCTGTCAATGGTTTGGGTAAGAGTTTAAATTCTTTGCTGTCGTTTCAACCATCCCCACAGCAGCTTCGCCAGGAATAGACTCCATCCCGAGAAATAACCCATCTGTTCGGGTCATACCATGAGATCGCAGCCATCGGGTCCCATCTTCAGGCCCCACTTCTCGTTCTCCTGCTCCTCCCTCCACATCCGCAGTTCCGTCCTCGGCTAAGTCTGAGCCTCTCCATGCCGTCCGTAAGGATCGGAATCCGTTTCTTCCAAGCTCCTTTTCATATCGATACTTTAATCTCTTCCCATGAGTCATGAATGTTCTTTATGACACCAAGGACGGTAAATCCTTTCCAGAACATTTTCAATGTACTCTGCTGGGATCCATCAGCTGCCACTACGTATGGCAGCTACAGCCGTAAGGAATGTATTTCTTAAGACTTGAACGTCAAAAATGGCTCCTTGATCCATGGGCTCCGGAATGGGTGTTTTTTAACAGGCACGAAAACATTAATTTCACTGTCCATCGCCATCAGAGCTGTTGGGTGCCTGGGTGCATTGTCCGTGAGCTGTAATATTTGAAGAGAAATACTGTTTTCTGGGCAGTAGGTCTCAGCAGTGGGCTTGAAGTACTCAGTGAACCATGTTGGATGCAGATGTGCTGTTTGTTCCCTCTACAGAGCACTGGGGGAGTAGGACCGGCCTCATTCTTAAGGGCCCTGAGGATTTTCAGAACGCTAAGTGAGCACCAGCTTCAACGTAAAGTCACAGCAGCCCCTAGCAAGAGGGTCAGACTGTCCTTTGAATCTTGAGGGCAGGCTTTGAGTTCTCCAGCTACGTACATCCTAGATGGTACCTTCTTCTGATATAAGACTGTTTTATCTACATTGAAAATCTGCTGGTCCGGGTAGCCCCCTTTGGGAACCATCTCAGCTCGATCTTCTGGATCTCTGGCTGCCTCCCATGTCAGCGCGCGCTGCTTTGCCTCACACTTTCATGCCACAGACACAGCTTCCTTCCTTAAACCTCATGAATCAACCCCTGCTAGCTTCAGACTTCTCTTCTTCAGCTTCCTAACCTCTCACCCTTCACAGAATTGTAGAGAGTTAGGGCCTTGCTCTGGAATAAGCTTTGGCTTAAGGGATTGTTACAGGAGGTTTGGTCTTCTCTCCAGACCACTAGAACTTTCTTCCTACGAGCAATAAGGCCGTTTCACCTTCTCACCATTTACATATTCACTGGAGTAGGGCTTTCAATTTCCTTCAAGAGCCTTTCCTTCGCAGTCCCGTCTTGGCTAACTGTTGGGTGCAAGAGGCCTAGCTTCTGGTCCATCTTTATTTCCAACATGCTTTGCGCACCAAGCTTGATCACTTCTAGCTTTTGACTGAAAGAGACATGAGACTCTTCCTTTCTCTTGAACATTTAGAGGCCACTGCAGGGTTAGGAACTGGCCTGACTGCATATCGTGGTGTGCCAGGGAACAGGAAGGCCTGAGGAGGAGCCGGGGCAGCCAGAACACACATGTGAGTTGGTTATCGGATGTGGGTGTGGTTTGTGGCTCCCCAAACCATTAGGGATCACTAAAATGAAGATAATAATGAAAAAGTTGGAGATGTTGTAAAAATTACCAGACTGTCACACACAGACACAAACCGAGCAAACGCTGTTGGGAAAATGGCACCGAAAGACTTGCTCCACGCGGAGTTGCCGCAAACCTTGAACTGGTAAAACCTGGAATGAAAAGACGTGTGCCTACACCGATGAGAAGAGACTTGTGAAAAAAGTTGGCACTCGCTGTAGATGTCTCATGGGAATGAATTGAAGATTATGGCCTTTCATTTTTTTTTTGAACTATTAATGTTGCAGTGATGTTTTGACACAGCTCTCTGCCTGATTAATTTGTTTTCTAAAAGCCCAAGAGAAGCCTGAGGGCATCAATGATGTATATGCGCTGACAGTTCTACAGCGAACTTTCCAGCACTTGAGTGACTTCTGTTACTTGTAAATCCAAGTGGTTATCTTGTCACCTGATAATGTCCAATAACCTTGGGGCCACAACAGAATTCACTCTGACCCCTGCTTATGCCCCAGTTGGAAAATGCTGGGGGAGTGAGATAACCTTGGTTTCATTCGCAAAGCAGCACTGCCTTCGGATGAGACCACTGGATTCTTTCAGCCAGGCAGGAGGAAAGTAGAAAAAGCTCAGGGCTCTGGCCTTGGTCCAGAGGGTAGGAACTAGAAGCTATACCCCCATCAAGCCTTTCTGTCTCAGCACTTCTACTGGTACCACTTTTCTTTACAAAAAGACACCGTAGCCATTATGGGTTGAGTCAAGAGTTCTCCGAAATTGCTACGTTGAAGTCCTAATTGCCGTTACCTCACAACGTGACCCTCTTTGGAGGTAGGATGTTCACAGAGATAATTAGGTTGAAATAAGGTCACGAGGGTGAGCCCTAATCCCACACAACTGACCTCTTTACCCAAAGGGGAAATCTGGACACAGGGAAGCCCATGTGAGGACACAGCATGAAGACGGTTCTCTTCAAGCCAAGGGAGGCGCCTGGGAGGCCTCCTTCTCCTGCGGCCCTCGGAAGGAACCGACCCTGCCAACACCTTGCTCTCTGGCTTCTGGCCTCCAGAGCTGTGCGACAATACATTTCTGTTGTCTAAGCCACCTCGGTGGTGGTCCTTTATTACCACAGCCCTAGGAAAGCCATGCAGCAGCCATTACTGGGATTTAGAAAGTATTTTCTTTTTCTAAGTTAAAATCTCAGATTAAAAAAAAAATTTTTTTTTTTAAAGATTTTACTTATTTATTTGACAGAGATCACAAGTAGGCAGAGAGGCAGGCAGAGAGAGAGGGGGAAGCAGGCTCCCCGCTGAGCAGGGAGCCCAACACGGGGCTTGATCCCAGGACCCTGAAGTCATGACCTGAGCTGAAGGCAGAGGCTTAACCCACTGAGCCACCCAGGTAACCCACGGATTTTTAAAATTCTTAATCCTATTCCTTCCTGCGGGTTCCTTCAAAGTACACAGTGCCCCAGGCCTTGAGAGGCTGTGGGGGACGAGCTGTCAGAGATTCAAAGTGAAGGATTTGTCCACCTTGTATTGGTGGAGGTTCTGCTCAACCTGTAAAAAGAGCCTTTTCTCTGCTGAGTCCCCAGACTGCCAAGGGGCCTCTGTAAGGGGCCTGAGTCGGGCTGGCCGTGGCAGCGGAGGAGGGCACTGGCGTTTTTGCACCTGTTACCAGTAGCCTCCAGTCCGGCTGGAAAGGCACTGAGTCTGTGAGAAGGGCCACGGGGCGGAAGCTTTCAGAGATACACTTGCTCTTTTTTTTTTTTTTTTTTTAATACAGTTTCAATTCAAGGACTTCCGCTACCGCCTCTGGCCCGCGGGCAGAGGCGCCTTTCTGCCAGTAGGTGGCAGTAGGGTCCGCCGCAAGCAGGAACACGGACAAAATCCCGGTTCCTGCGAGGGTGTGCGTGCGGCCGCTCTGCCTGACGTTGCACAGGAAGGGGGTTCACGCAAAGGCACCGAGGCGAGCGCCATGGGCAGACACAGGCAGAGATTAGGGCTGCACGGCGAAGAATGCCAAGGACCGCACGCAGCCACCGAAGGCTGGAAGCAGCCGGGAAGGATCTCTCCCGAGCGCCTTTAGATGGATGGAGCCTGGCCTTGCGGACACCTGCATCCGGACGTCTGGCCTCCACCGCCACGACACTGTGGTTCTGGTGAAGCCGCCTGGATCCAGGGACTTGGCGTCTGGGCAGCCCTAGGAAACTAGCACAGGGAGCGACAAAAGCAGGGGAAGCCAAGCCCTCAGATCTCTCCTCCTGAGTCCTCCCCGTTCACCACACTCAGAGGCTTTTTTTTTTTTTTTTTTTAAATGAAGTGTATAATACTTACCACCTTCTCCCTTCAACCAGGTTTTCCTATTCCTTCTCAGATCCCGCAGGAGCGAACAGTAGGGACGAGGACCCCCCTATTCACTAAGGCCCTGGGTAGGACTCAAGCTTGCTTCCCCTAGACTTCCCATGTGTTCCTAACGTGGTTCATGTTGAGTGTGCGATTTGTCTCCTGCAGGCCCAGTGCCTGGGGGCCTCCAAGGTCACACCACGAGAGACTGTTGTTTCTCAAATGGTTTTTTCCCAAGAGTTGGAAAGGCTCAGGAGACCACTAAACATTGGCTCCTGATGACAAGGAAGAATACGGAAACTGAGAGCCAAGACAGGAGCCGGAGGGAGTTGGGGAGGTGGAGGGAAGTCAGTGCCAGGAGGCACTCCCCTCCCTCCCCATCGGCAGGAGCCTGAGTCAAGCTCACATACAGAGCTGACCTTGAAGAAGGCAGCCATCAAGCTGGCCTCTGAGGCCAGGAGTCATTGGAAAGCTAGGAGCCAACAACAAAAAATGTACCCTAGCCCAGCCAGCTGTCACTCAATCACTAACTCCGGTTCCCTTAGCTAATCCTTAAACAGTGGCTTAACACTGTTGGATTTAAAACTGATCCTAGGGGGTGACCTCCGATCGCGGACTGATGGCTTGCCTCAGTAATCTGAAAGCTTGTGTTAGTGTGGGAATCACTTGTGGGTGCCATGCGGCCAGACAGTGGGATCCATTCTTTCCACTCACTCACACATCTTAGACATAATATCTGGTCAGTGGCTTAAGAGGGCCAAGCACTTCTGGAGATAAAGGGTCCTATTTTGCTCTTCCTGAAATCTCTCCATTTCTTACCATTGTGGCCACCACTGTGGTGGAAGGAAACAGCATTCTGGTTGAATGCCTTACAAGCCTCCTTGGCTCTCACTAAAATCTATCACAAACCCTCTGGCAGATGGGGATTCTAGCTCTCTGCTGAGAAGCAACAGAACTGCCTGTTTCAAATCAACACCGCTCGCAGCATCCAATCTGGCTCAGACAGGAGGGATTAAAGGCCCCAATACTCTCCGTACAAGTCTTTAAGCTCCATGTCAGCGGAGCCCAATCCACAAATGCAGCTTCTCCTGCCAGAAAGTTCCAGTGGGTTTTCTAAGACCCCCGTGACCTAATTTAAAGTGTTTTTCTTCTTTTTCTCAGGCTTTTCTCATACATAATGCTACGATAAGCTGTTAATTCAATCATTTTCACTTCTCTGCCACCCTTCATCCCGTGATCAAAGAGTCTTATTAGCCACCCTCCACACACATTAAATAATCAAGCTGTCCACCAGCTGCACAGGAAAGCCTTAATCTCCAGTGCAGGCCTGGCTAAGAAATGGCTTAACTGTTTCTTCTCCTTGGCCCACAGCTATTTTTGTACTTCAAACAGCCGTCTTGCAGAGACACCTATCTGGATGAAAGTACCTATCAGCGAGAGGATGTTAATAGGGAAAAGTGTAAAAAAGAAAAGCATATATAACCTTGAGACAAAAAGTCATTGTTTAGCGGCAGCCGCCTTTCCAACTTCTGTGTTACGACAAAAGCGATCACACTATCCCCCACTTACCCATCGGCTCCCCGCCAGTCATCCCCGTAACAATTCTCAGCTGGGTTTTGTTGGGGGTCCCTCTTTCCCTTGATATAAAATTGCATTCTACCTCAGGCAGAGAAGCTGCCTTAGGACCTCGAGTACCAACGACGGCGTCAGCCTTAGAATGCCCGAGACTGTTCTCAAAGTGGAATCGAGCTCTTACGAGCATTGCGCGATTGCCCTGTACAGCCTGATCAACTCTGCTCAATTCTTTCAAATACCCTAATTTGTGCCATCAACTCAAATTCAATGGAAGAACGCATCTTTGGTCACTGGATAAAATCATCTTCAGAAACACACCCCTCCCCCGCCCCCTTGATTTGAGTATTGGCAAATGAATCAGCCTGGAACTTTCTAGAGGGAAAGGGAATGGCCTTTTCATCTTTTTAAAGATTTTGTTTGTTTATTTGACAGAGACAGCTCACGTAGGCAGGGGGAGAAGCAGGACTTGATCCCAGGATCCTGGGATCGTGACCTGAACAGAAGGAAGACACTTAACTGACGGAGCCACCCTTTTCAATGGCCTTTTCAAAGCAGGCAGGATGACAGGAACACGGAACCTGAACCCAGTGCTTTCTAAGAGTGACGGAACAATCAACTGCCTTTTAAGGTAAACTATGATTTCAATTTCGTGTCAAATCACAGCAGGAAGCAGGATAGCCAACCTCATTAATACATGCATCACGTGGGTGGATCCTTCAAGGGAAATGTCATATGTTACCTGGTGTGCAGACATTATCTGGTTTAAATCCTGTGTATTTTTAAAGGGATATAGGCAGTATTCTGTATCAGTATACAAATAACAGCACTGGGGAATTAGGGGTATCTACTAGAAGAGAAACACTGTATCTTAAAGGAGAAAAAAACAGTACAAGAGAAACAAAACTATGTCTCTTACAATTCTAACCATAATGTCCCCACAGAAACCTCCAACTGCCCTTCAAGAAAGGACGCCTTTGATGAAGAGGATTCTTACTAGGTCCAGCGGAAGGTGAGACAAAGGTTTTCCTTTCTCCTGCTTATCTTTTCCATTTGCTTGTTCACAATAAGAGAGGCACATGGCAATAGTGAGGGGAGGGCAATGAGCTACAGCCTCCCAGAACTGGAAGAGCATGCAAAATAGAACATAAAAACCTCCAGCGTGAAAACACACCCTGGAATTAGAAATTCATGGTGCAGAACTTTCTAGATGTCTTGCCAAAAAAATTTATGTTTAAATACTGTGAAGGTTTAGGATAGAGGAAGATGGGATGACACAGCAAAATCTGGGAAGAGAGCTGTAGCTGCTCTGGTGAAACCTTCTCTTATTGGAACTTCACAGCATTTAGAGGAAGCCACAGCAGGCCAGAGCTGGAGGGGGTCCTAGAGTGACTGAAGGATCCATTTTATGGATGAGAAAGCGGAGACCCTGAAGGGGAGATCAATTCAAGGTCAATGATAAATGAGAGGCAGAGAGAACCACCGAAGCCAGGTGCTTGCTTCTGTGGAATTAATTTATGGGCCGCTGGGTTCTGCAGCAGGGATAGTGGCTAAGTGAAAACACTAGACTCCCGGGGATCCATCAGGTCTCCATTAATGATGGGAAGATGTCATCTGTCTTTTCATTCCCACGGCCTTTCATGGGCATACAGTGTGGGTACAAGGGTGTGCCCTGTGACAACACACTAACATAGAGACAGATGCAAGAATGCTATTAAGCCTGATGCTACAGATTTTAAAGACATAAAATAATGCCGCTTTTCTTGTTTTTGTCCAGAAAATAGTGATTTTGACAGAAATTTCCTTAAATTAACATTAATAGTTATTCTGAATGAATGATTACATAAATTGAGTAAATATTAAATTTTCTCATTAAAAAAAAATACGGATGGAACCCACATACACAAAAACTCTTGGGTGGGATCCTCAATACTTTGGAAGATGTACTGGTATCAAAGGTGTGAGAAGTGTTGTGCTAGAACACTGAAAGCCAGAAGCTTACACACACTGTTGCCAACATAACTCCCCTGGCCCCTTCCCTCATCGGGTCCATCTCTTGCTTTACAAGGAACAGGATTCCAACCACATGGCCAGGAGACCTGGACACATAACCAGTGCCCAAGCCATAGGGACAGGTGCTCACGGGGCTGGGTTTAGGGAGGAGAGCACAAGGAGTGGGACTCCAGTTTCCACCCTGCCCTTTACCAGCTGTGAGAACTGGCCGAAGGGAGCCTCCATGTCCTTATCCATGTGAATGGAGACCACCGTAACCCCTACCTGGCTGGAGCCACTCGTGTCCAGAAAGCAAGCCCGGGGACAGTGGCTGGAGGCACAGGGGAGGTGCTCAGTTGTACCTCATTACTGTTCAAGACCCCGCGCTCTCCAGCAGCACCAAACCGTTCCCCTTACAACATTCTTGAATTTTGACCTTCGAAATTGAACACCAACACATAGGTCTCTTCACCCCAATCTGTCTCTGTGTCCTCTTCTATCTTATCTGCATGTTACCTTGTGTGATTTTGGGCCAAGCCTTGAACTTCTGAGTCTAATTTCTGTCTGGCAAAGGCAGTGTGATCCCTAATGCAGGCAGCACAGCTCGGTCATTAAGAGCGGGCTTGGGGCGAGGCTCGGAGGGTTGGAATCCCAGCTCTGATCTCTGACCGATTACTTGTTGCCTGGTCTGGGGCAAGTGGATAATCGCACGTGCGTCCCTCTCCTTTCTGTAAAATGGAGCTATGGCGGCTTCCTAGCGGGTCGTGGGGATTAAATGGCTTAAGACAAAGTATTCAGGACACTGCTCAGCTTGCAGGGAACATGGAAAAATGCTACATAGCTTATCGTAAGTAGCTACAAAATAAGATTAGGCTCGATCAGCTTTTCTCCCCAACCCTGGTGAGAATTTCTGTTGCCTTGTCTTCACGGCTGTGGGACTCCCCTTGCTTCCCAGGCCTGTGAACCGTTAGCAGCCCCGTGCTGGGAAGGCTGGGCAGAGGACCACCACCGCTGCTTCCTTCAGTTCTAAACTCCCTGCTTCCTTCATTCCTAACTGCTGCTCAAAGTGCTTTCAAACCACTGCCAGTCAATACTGGGGCTCTTCCCTGTGACTTCTGGAGGAAGCATGAACTTTTTATGAAAAGTTTGGCTTCTCCATGTCCAAGAAAGGCACAGAAGCACCATAAAATGAGACACTGATAAAAGGACAGGAGCAGTTTTCTTACAAACGAAATGGAGAATACCGGAGGAGGAGCAATCAAAATGACTAACGACAAGCCTTCCAGCAAAGGAGTCGGGGTAATCCATAGGGTAACTGGGATCAGTAGGGCCATTTAACTACCCTGTGATCTTTTGTTTCTCTGGGAAGGGTCACATGCCCCTGGTTGGTGCCAATCTTTTTTTTTTTTTTTTTTAAGATTTTATTTGTTTGGCAGAGAAAGAGAGAGGGAAGCAGGCTCCCCGCTGAGCAGAGAGCCCGATGTGGGCCTCGATCCCAGGACCCCGAGATCATGACCTGAGCCGAAGGCAGAGGCTTTAACCCACTGAGCCACCCAGGTGCCCCGCCAATCTGTTTTTTTTAAAGACACAAGGAGCATGAACTCTTAGCTCATGAAGATCAGATTTCATTTAGTTTTTCAAATTTACCATGGGACCAAAAAATTACTGTAATTTTTTTCCTATTTAATTCCCTACCTTCTTGGTTGTACAGAGGAACCAACTCTTCTGTAAGGATTTTAAAGTGCACCATCACTTATTTTAAAAAGTGGGGGCACTGTGGGGAGGAGGGTTGCCCAGTGGAAAAAAAAATTCTGTTGGTGCTACAACCAGGATATTCAGAGGTTATTAAAAAAAAGTCCTTTCACAAGGGTGGTTGTGGGGAGAGGGCTTCTATTCTCTATAAGGGGTCAAGGAAAGCCAATCTGAGATGTTTGGGCTGAGACTAAAGGACGTAACGGAGCAAGCTTGGGACAGCTAAGAAAGTGTATTTTCAGACAGTAAAGGCACATGCAAAGGTCCTGAGGCAGAGGCATAGTTGGTTATGGGAGGAATACCAAGGTCACTGTGGTTGGAACAGTATGGTTAAGGAAGACAGAGGCAGGGGAAGGAGGGCAGAAAAAAGTGGCAGCGTAGATCAGACCGTGCAGGGCCTTGAGGACATTGGAGCTTACTCCAGGAGAGGGGAGAAGGTGCTGGAGGGCTCTGTGATAACGAGTAGCATTTTTGGTGACCAAGGTCCTGTAGAGTATGCTTGAGGGAACAGAGGGCTAGGCTGTGGCATAGAGGGGAGTGGTGGTGTGTGGTCAGGAGACACACCCAGTGGGGTTCCTGACACGGAGTTTGCATACTTAGGCTTGGCACAACTTAAAAGAGTGGAAAACCTGAAATCCACACTTGGTGTCTCTTGTGTGATCTTGTGCGGGTATGCAGAGATGTGGAGAATGTGTGTGGGATGGACTTTATAGGGAAACACCCCTTCTCCTCTCTCATAGCTTAGTCCATCGTATATCCTTCTAGACCTCATCTAATAATTGACTTAAGTTACCGGGGACAACTTGGCAGGCGATCAAGGGTGTTCACGGACACAATCATTCCTGATCCTCCAAGTGGCCCCGTAAGCTTGGCATTATTTCCCTCCTTTGGCAAACAGGGACACACACAGAGGTGCCTGCCCAGGTCACGCCCCCGGTTGGTGACAACCGAGGGAGATGGCCAAGATTCTTTGGTGCTGACCTCCGGTTCTTGCCACAACCCCATTCTGGGCCTCTTAAGCTACCAATTTACCAAGGAAGTAACACAGAATTCCAGAAGATTCACGCACACGGCAGATACACTGGAGTCACAGAAGACGTTACCACAGAGAAGCCCCATTTCACCTCACAATTAGGGGATCCGTTCTCTTTTTACCTAGAGGGATTTAGCTTCTTACCCTACATACTCTCTTGTGGAATGTTCTGCATGAACTGTGTGAAAGCATGGCTTGTGAAAATCGCCCCCGTGGTGCCAGTGATGGAGGGCCATGGTTTCTTTTAAAACCCCAGCCTGCCTGGCCTCACAGAACCCATTCTTGCATAAACTGTGGCCCCGGGCCCATCCGTAAACCAGAAGGAAGGGGTAAGAAACTAAAATTACTTACTAAATAGACATCAAGCACGGAGGCATTATCGTCCTGCATTTCCAGAGCGTTCGGCTCAGAAGTCAAGTAGATGGTCCCCTCTTCCAAGGTAAATGTTGAACTGGAAGGTAACCCTTTACTGGAAAGACAAAGAAGAATAATGAGTGCGTGGCCTCCAGACCAAGATCCACGGAAACCTCCAAGTTGTGGATAAAGACGTGGAGTTCAGGAAAGCTTTTTGGGATTAAAAAAAACGATTTTGAGAGTTCAGAGACAATACGGTCCTACCTGGAGATGGTTTAAGGAATTCGGTTGTACTAGCTGTGTATCTCCCTGTCTGCTTCCCTGCATGGGACACTTGTTTATACTTCTGAGAAGGGATCTGTGGGTCCCCGGCCTCGTGAGGGTGGAGGGCTGTCACCTAGAGGCCCACCGGTCAGCTCTTTCAGCAGTGGGTTCCTGCTGCTTGGGTTTGCCACTTAGAGTACGCATGCTTTGCTGGTTTACAAAGATCACCTTGTGCATGATCAGTACTGGTTTCTCTCTCTGTACTCTTCTCTTTTCCTTTTAGACACAAAAGGTCCAATTGTGCCAGCAGTTGTCAAACTTAAATGTGCATCAGAATCCCTTTACAGGGCGCCTGGGTGGCTCAGGGGGTTAAGCCGCTGCCTTCGGCTCGGGTCATGATCTCAGGGTCCTGGGATCGAGTCCCGCGTCGGGCTCTCCGCTCAGCAGGGAGCCTGCTTCCCTCTCTCTCTCTCTCTCTCTGCCTGCCTCTCTACTTGTGATCTCTGTCAAATAAATAAATAAAATCTTAAAAAAAAAAAAAAAAAACCCAGAATCCCTTTACAGATTTCTTGGTTTAGTAAACCATCAGCTTTCAAGGGATGCTTCTCTGAGAACACTGTGTGCCCATGACCATCGCTCAAGTCATTTTCTGGATCAAAAGTAATGAACAGTGACAGGCTTTAATTGGCTTTTGCTTCTCAACGACTACAATGTCACCCACCAAAGAGGAATTACTTCTCTACTTAAACATCAAAGCTAGAAATAAGGTGGTCAGAAAATAGATAAGTGTGGGATGACTTCTGATTTTTATTCCTTTTTTTTTTGCTCCTATTTTATTTTTATATAATTAAAAAAAATCTCTAAATGCTGCTGGGTTATTTTATGAACATATCATTTATTCAATGACGTTCAGAACTCAGTTTTCAAGATCGAGGGTATAACCAAGAATATTCTGGAAGTGATTTTTCTTTTTCTTTAAGCTTTATGCCCAAAGTGGGCCTTGACCCCAAGATCAAGAGTTGTTGAGCCAGTCAGACATCCCTGGAAGAGATTTTGCTTAAAAAATTCTTAATTTTTTAATACTACATGTGGTGTAAAATACAGCTAAAAGTCCTCTTCTTTTCCTGCCGTCCTGTTGTGATCCTGAGTCACTCCCCTAGAAGTAAATCCATTATGTACATGTTTTTCAGTCTAATATTTATCTTCTATTTTGGGTAACCATGAGTAAGCTAGCATGATTTAGAAAAAAAAATGAGGGTATTCTTTGGGATTTACCAATTATTTCAGCTAAAATACACTGTGATTACGGAAGACAAACACTGGATTTCCTTGGCATTCTATGGTCAAATTTGAGCAAAATCAAACTTTACTTGTATTGTTTTTCACATGTATGAAAACACTTTCCTATCTCAACAGCATAGTCTGGGCATTATTTGGGGGATGAAAATGAGGCTCACAGGGACTTATATCCAGGTTCTATAAAGAACTCTTAGGACACTAAAAGGACAAATCACCCAATTAAAAAATGAGTAAAGGATCTGGAGAGTCCTGCAAAGAAGAACTACAAATGACCAGTAAGTGTATGAAAAGATGCTAAACATCATTCATCCTAAGGGGAACTCAAATAAGAACTCTGGGGAGCTACCCGTTCTCACCCCCCGAGCTGCTGTCATAAAGACAGGCGAGGGAAGGAGCTGGAGAGGACCCGATGAAGACTGGAGAAGGGGGCAACGGCTTTGGGAAACAGTTTGGTGGATCCTTAAAACTACGAATCCCAGCAATTCTATTCCTGGGTGTAGATCCAAGAAAAATGAAGACCTGTGCCCACACCGAAGCTTGCCCACGAATGCTCCCAGTCGCATTCTTCAGAATAGTCCCATAGTGTTAATAACCCACCTGTCCACTAGTTGGTGAATGGGTAGGTAACTCCTGCAATGGAATAGGATTTGGCAATAAGAAATAATGAGGTACCGATACGGCCAACAATATGGCTGAATCTTGAAAAACATTAATGCTCAATGAAAGAAGCTGCTCATCAAGGACACGTATTGGGTGATTTCACTGGTGTGAAATGTAGAGAAGAGGCTGATTTAGAGAGATAGAAGGCACATGGTGGCCAGGGGTTGGGGTGAGCGGGGGAGGACTAGGGAGTTACTGCTCTTGGGTGTGGAGTTTCTGGGCTATTGAAAACGTTCTAAAATTAGCTTTTAGCAATACACAACTTGGTGAGTAGACTAAAGCCACAGAACTGTCTACTTTGGGTCAATTTTAGAGTCTGTGAAATATCTTAAGGAAAAAAATTTCATGAAGCACCTAAGGGCCATGGTTTTAAAACTGGTCTCCGTACACAGTACCAGAAATATCAGAAATGCAGAGAATAGTTTAGGTCGCATTGTACAGCTGTTTGGAGTAGATTCCAGTCATTCAAAAAATGTTTTTCTTAAAAGAGAAAAAACATTCCAGTTGACCTGGCAACACTCAGAACTGGACTCTGAGCTTCCATGCTGCGGGGTGAACAGACCATGTGTGCAGGTGCGTGGAAGCCCGGGGAACTGTCTACGGTGTCACAGGACCAGCGGGTGTGGCACAGGTATGGGACCTCCCTCCAGGGCACCCACCGCTCTCTGGTCTCTTCTGTTTATATCCTCTCTCCCTGTCCCCACCCCCGCCCCCTTGGATTTGTCCCCCCAGCACGTCTGCTTCACAGATGAGAGATCTGAAGACCAGGCAGGGAGGCGCAGGGACTTGCCCAAGGTCACACAGCCGTTGAGTAGAGTTTAGGATCTGAATCCTGTTTTCCAATCAAGTACTTTCTAGGGCCAGCTAGTGGACATTTGAGAAATCTGACACTGTAGAAACTGAGGCAGCAAAGGCAGAGGGGCCTAGGAACTTGTAAATAATCCCCAGATCCAGCAAAAACGAAGGCAGTAGACCATGCTGGATGTGGCTGCTGAGATCTCGGCTTGAGGAGAGTAAAGATGGCCAGAACGGTTTGGGGAAAACTAGGCAGAATATGCTTTACAAATATTTTTCTTCCTTAAAAAGTTAAAAATAGAATTACCCTGTGATCCAGCAATCCCATTTCTGGGTATATACCCCCAAAGAAGAAAAACAGTCCGAGCTATTTGTTTACCCAAACTGTTTGTCTCCCCCCGCCCCTCAAGCCCCATTCATATCTTAAAGTCCTAATGCCCAGTACTCCACAATGTGTCCCTATTTGGAAATAAGGTCTTTAAAGAGGTAATTAAGGTTAAATGAGATCATTGGGAGAGGCTCTAATCCAGTATGACTGGTGCCCTTAAGAGATTGGGAGGGGGGAATGCCTGGGTGGTTCATATGGTCACGCATCTGACTGTTTCAGCTCAGGTCATGATCTCGGGGTGCTGAGATCGAGCCCCACACTGGGCTCTGCGCTCGGTGTGGAGTCTGCTTCTCCTACTCCCTCTGCTGCTCCCCCTGCTCTCACTCAAACAAAGACAATATTTTAAAAGATTTTATTTATTTGTCAGAGAGAGGGAGAGAGAGCAAGCACAGGCAGATAGAATGGCAGGCAGAGGCAGAGGGAGAAGCAGGCTCCCTGATGAGCAAGGAGCCCGATGTGGGACTCGATCCCAGGACGCTGGGATCATGACCCGAGCCGAAGGCAGCTGCTTAACCAACTGAGCCACCCAGGCGTCCCATATTTTAAATAAGGGTTTTGGACAAAGACATGAACAAAGATGGGGTGAAGACAGGGGAGAAGACAGCCAAGGAAGGAGGCCTCAGGAGAAACCAACCCTGCTTCCCCCTTGATCTTGGACTCGTAGCCCCAGAACAGGGAGATAACACGTTGCTGTTGTTCAAGTGGCTTCGTCTCTGGCACTTCCTTAGAAAGAAGACACACCCATGTCAACAGCCTCACTGCCGAGGGGGGGGGGAGCAGCCCGAATCCCCACTGACGGATGAGAGGATACACAGAACTGACGCGCACAACACAGCACTATTCAGCCTTGGAAAGGAAGCCAGTTCCGCCACATGTTAACAGTGGACTGTGTAGGACTTTGTGCTACGTGGAATCAGCCAGACCTTAAAGGACAAATACTGTGTAATTCCACTTCCGTCAAATTCACAGAGGCAGAAACAGGAATGAATGGAGGTTGCCAGGGGCAGAGGGTGGGGGATGGGGGCAGAGTTTCAGTTCTGCGAGATGAAGAGTTCTGGAGCCCTTGGAGCCCACTTGTACAATAATGTGAGTGTACGTGACACTATCAAACTGTACACTTACGAATGGTTAAAGTGGGAATTTTAAGTTTTAAGAGAGAGCAAGCATGAGCAGGGGGGAAGGGCAGAGAGCTGGATGCGGGGCTCCTTCCCAGGACCCTGGGATCAGGAGCTGAGCCGAAGGCAGACACTTAACCAACTGAGCCACCCAGGTGCCCCTGTTAATGTGAATTTTACCACAATAAAAAGAGAATAGTATTGGGGAGTGCTGTGAAGTGTGTAAACCTGGCGATTCACAGACCTGTACCCCTGGGGCTAATAATACATTTATAGGTTAAGAAAAAATTAAAAAAAATTTAAAAGAATAGTATTGAACAGTAGTCATTTAAGCTACCATTTAATTAAAAGAAATGACCTATGAAAGAATTCTGTAATATCTAGGACTATAACCCTGTGCAAATCATCAGGCACGCATACTGACTCGCATTCAGTGTATTCTGGATAACCTGACATGAACACATCTTGGCACAGAGGGAAAGCTACACAACCCATTCACTCATCTGCCTTCACGTACGAGTAAGGAGGATGACAACACCGTGAGTGAGACCAGAGCACAGAGATGGCCGGTCCCTTCCCTGCAAGAGAACGTGT